GTGGAGACTTCTTAAAAAGCGCGAAAAAATTCTGCCTGATCTTGTTTTAGATTTGGCAACTGAGTTGTATTTTCTTCTCTAAAATGGGGGAAAGGGTGAGAACAGTGGTCAGAGTCCTGTGGCAATAACAATGAACAAGCAGTAATTAGCATCTCTCTCAGTTCTCTGTTTTTTCCAGTTTTATTCATTAACATCTTGCTTTATGAAGATCTAATTCTGCTTAAAAATAGTTGTAAGGGGTCGGATCAATTTACTTGCAATAAGTTATTCCATCAGAACGATTGCCAGAATATACCTGTGAGCTTGTTAACAATTCACCATCCCTGTATCCACTTCATAATAATTAAATTTTTTATCTTGTTTTTCATATTTTAACGATTTTTTCATAGAAGACTTGCTCCTAAGTGCTATGGATGAAATAGAAAGGGATTCTGTATTCTTTAAATACCAAACTTCTGCTCTCTTCAAACTTGATTTCTGCTAAAAACAGTTACTAGGAGCTGAAATCACTACCATCTCAAAAGAAAGCTCCTTGGAACTTCTTGCTCATTTCTTGCCCTTTACTTTCTCAAAGTTTTCTTCAACTTCCCATCCAGCTAATAAGAAGGCGTTTTGTATTTTTGGAATTGTATTTGTCTTTTTCTGTATTATTAGAATAAGCCTGGGAGAGTGATGGTCGTTATTGCCCCAAGGAACTAGTCTGCATGTACAAGAGTGGGTTATGTTGCAAGACTTTTTCAAGAGGGATTAGCAATTTTGAAGTTATTGTTGGATGCTAAACAATGCCCTAAAATATTTTATATAAGCAATAATAATGGAGAAATCTTGATTGTTTTTAAAACTTGCATCACCATTAGTTTACAGTTTTTAATTGCTTGACATCTTATAAGGTCTACTTAGCAATGAAATAAGCATGGAGAGACTTCTTTCTGCTTAAACACTTTAGGCTAAAAATGAGAAATGCTCTTGGAAATTATCCTTATAATAGTGTTGAGGTGGGAAGTTTTCAAGATCATAAAAAAAATTCTGGATTTCAGCTCTACTTTTGCAACTGTGAATATGAAATTTAGTAAAAATCTTAAACACGATCTTCATTTAGAGAACAGTTTTTTTTTTTTTTCTTTTTGCAATATGTTTTCATTAATAACTGACTTTTACTTTGCTGTAGGTGTGTGTGTTGGAACAGAGCATGAGTTTGTTCAGAAAAAAATTTAACAAAAAATAATATAAATTAACAGCAAGTTTTGATCAGTTATAAAAATATATATTCAACACTGTACTTCCAATGCATTTCAGTATCTCCTAAATCTTTCCTGCATTAAACACTTTCCTTTCTTTCATTGCTTTTAGAAAGAAAGTTTGAAAAACTTATTTTTATTTTTCTTTGTTTAAAAGCTTTGTGATATTACAAGAGGGAGGCAGAAAAATGTCAAATAGGCAATGATAGGACTTATAAAATATAGATGGAGTGTTTACTTGGTTGTTTCCAGTTGGCCTAAAATTTTTGTTGGTAAGCTACACTTGAGATTGCCAGTTGTAATTGTATCCTCCCTGCCATCCTGTTTAAAAGAGAGATGGGGGAGGTTTTTTTTTTTAAAAAAAAATTATACCTGCTTAGAAAGATGATAAAATAGATCTTAAACCGCTTAAACAACTACTGTGGAATTGAAAGTAATATTGGGAAAAAACCATGACTGAATCTGAAAAGATTAGGATCTCAGACTGTGAAGGGTATAGATTCTTTATGTTCCTCAACTATTTTAAAATATAATTAGAGATATTGTTCAGGTGAAAATAAAATAATAAAAAGTATGAATGTCATGTTTTTAGAACTTACTCATCCTTAAATTCTGCAAGTATTTGAATGAAGAGCCCCAAAACACTTCTAAAATTTATAGCTGATATCTTGAGAGATTTTCGAAGTCATTTTACTCAGTAAGGAAAGATGTATTCCCCCCTCCATCAAGTATTTACTGTGTAACTGTATATTGTCAAGGTATGTTTGGTCCTTCCAGCTGCTTTCAGTATAGCTTTGGCTTCCAGGTCTCAGCATATTTCAAATGGTGCTGTTTTGACAGTCTTTTTTCTGTCCCTGATAATAGGCTTTTTAAAAATTACCATGATTGTGCATGCCTGCATTATAGTGTGGGAATTCATATTGTATTGTCCTGGATATTTTGGATCTCAAAAGCTATATCAGGTCACTTCTTCATCTGTTAACAGAGTAATTTGTACTTAGAAATGTTTTTTTCCCCTCTTTGCTTTTTCTGCAAGTGTAAAGTAGAACTTGTACATATGCAGTTATCTAAAGATTTAGTTGCTATATATTTTAGTGACCTGCAATGCTCCTCAAGACTGCACCTCACCTTTAGAAACTTAGGTCTCTCACTGGTATAGTATATGCCTTGCATTATTGTGCATGAGGACTGTAGAATTTTGTGCTAAAGACAAACTTTGTTAATAGTTGTACTTTTTAGGTTTTTTTATGAAACTACTTTCAAAATGTGTTTTAGACTTGTACATTAGGTACATTTTGGGACTACTGGGATATTTGTTTTGCATCTATAGCCTATGAAAAGCTGAGGATCTCCTTTGTTCATGGTTATAAAATGGAAAGAAAGAATATTCTAATATGAAGGATCCTTAAGGTAAAAGGCCATGCAAGTTACTTGTCTTTATGCAATTTATGCTTCTGAATTATGTAGTAGAGTGTCAATTGAAATATAGCACAGCGTGAGAGACCATCTAGGAATTAATGAATGACTCAGTCTAGAAAGTGGCCTTTGCATTGTTGTTAAGTGGGATTCAGGTAGTTGTCACACAAGTGCAACTGTATTTGCCAGTGTCTTCAGCGTAATTGATGTTTTCTGAGCATTATCCATAACAGGCTACAGGTAGCTTGCCTTTAGTCCAAATTTTAGGAATTCTGAATTGTGCTATCCCATCCAGTAATGACATAGGAAACATAAAAATGAATGAGCACACCTCATCAGCATGGTAAATTTTTTGGTCTTCTCAAAATTTTCCATTGCATATTGGACAGGAAAAATGATTAGATATTTGAAGGCCCCTATTACACTGAGGAAGATTATTACTGTTGCTTGTCTCCTCAGAAAGATGAAGCTGTACAGTGCAGGCTATTACTGGCTAAAGGGGTCAGGTGCAGCTGATGTAGGGTACTACGTAGTGTTGTGTTTGTCATGTGGCTTTGTGATCCATAACTATTGAAAAGTGACTGCAGTATGGAACTTAACCTTTTGTAGAACATAAGGTGTGGAAAACATCAAGGGTTTGGTCAGACAAATTGAATGCCAACACAAATACATCAGGTGATGTGTCAGTGATATCGTTACTCTTCGCTAACCAAAGTATGTCATGTTGGTTTTCACTACTTGGGATTAATTTCTCAGTTCTCCTTTGCATGGTTAGCTGGACTTTTTTGTTTGTTTGTTTTGTTACTTGTCTCTGATTTATGTAGTGTTTGGACTCATGAGTATTCTGTGGGTTCTCCGTTTTATTTGGAAACATTACATTTTAAAATATAAAACAAAAGCTATCAACACATTTTGTTTGAAATGTTTCATATTTATAGTTCCCTAAAATTCTGTTTTCTTTATCTTCCCAGTCACATGGGAGCTTGGAGGGAACACACACACATCTCTAATGCCAGCATTGCAGATTAAAAATAGTTTTCCTCCACCAAATGCTAACAGCTGGTTGGCTTTCTTTCCCTGCTGAAGATGCATCGTATAGTATTTTCATTTTCCTGCTGTTTCCAAATGTTAATGGATCAGACTCTGCAAGTTTTACTTTGTAAATTCTATTGCAATACTAATTACATTTTAACAGTATTTCTATGAGGCTTTTTACAACTCCAGTCAAGCACCTATTTTTCCATCCTGCAGATAAATAAACAGAAAGTGGTTGAGGGAGATGCTTTGTGTTGATTTAAATGACGATCAGTGCTTCTGTAAGCCAAGTATTATTTGGGCAACGTGAAGATGTAGTGGCACTCATGAGAACAGGTCTTTGAAGTTGTACTCCCCCAGGATAAACCCCTAACCTTTGTTCCTTTCCTTTACTTGAAGTAATTCAGTGCGAATACTGTGGAAAATCTCTTGTCATATTGACATTGCAGCAATTGCCTATTGAAATCACTGTCATCTTCGCTTTTCACTCAGTGATGGAAAATGTCTAAACATTGCATTTCAAGAAAGAAGACATTTATAGCAATATTTTTCAAAATAGCCATTTTTGTAATACTGTGAGTGAACATATTATATACAATGACAAGTTATTACTGAACTGAGTAGAATATCTTATAATAGCTCTTCTGCCTTTCCCCATCTTGAAGTACACAGCAAAACTGTCTTACTATATTAGAAGAAGTGAATCTGTTATTTTATTTGCAAATTCTTTCATAATGTCTGGCACTTAGAGTGGTATTACCTTCATATACATGATCCATAGTGTTTACATTTTGGCATAAAAGCTGAAGCAACTAGTGCAAGACATGGAGAGACATGAGAGTTAATAAAATAACAGATGGCAGTTATGTTCCTGTGGAAATAATTATATACTGCATTTTTAATTGCATAGAATCAATGCGTTGGTTTTGATTAATACAGTAGGCTTGCTGGTCATATGGAGATTAGTGTCTTGTGTGGTATAAACCTGAAAGTTAGTTTGTTGTCATGTATTATGTGATATGATGGGGGTCAATTTCAGGAATGCCTTAAAAATATGCTCTATACAAAATCCTTTCTACACTGATTGTACTAGATAGATTAATCCTGTTGCCATATGGAAATTGCACTGGGTATGCAAAAGAAAAATCTAGATAAGTGATAACTCATTTAATACTCTGTGGTTTGTGTTTATGGAAAACAGAATTCCTCAGGATCTTCTAAAGGAAAACAAGAGTGTGCCAAAGGTAATTTCAGTGTTGAGTGTTCATGGATGGTAAAATTATATTTAACAGATGTTTGTAATTTTTGCAGGTAATAGCTCTAGCAGATGCAGCAGAAGAAAATCAAGCCAATGTGTTCCAGGCATTCACAAAGTTGAAAAGTGCCACCCATCTGGTGATTATGCTGATTAGTTTGTGGCAGAAGCTCAGCACTGATCAAGTTGCTATTCTGGAAGCTACGTTTTTGCCATTAGCAGAAGATACACAAGAGCTGGTAAGAATCTGTAAGAGCTGCTTGAAAAATGCTCATTCATAGAGCTTTAAGCCCTTAAATTTACATATTTTCCCCTGTACTTTACTGAAGACTGTCCTTTGAAGTGATTTAAGTAGCCTTGTTAAGTTCAATGTTTGATGTAAACTACACTGATTTCCCAGGAAAGTAGAAAAGTAGGTTATAGAGTGGGTTATAGAACGTTTCATTAGAAGATATGGGTGATACCAGTTAAATTCTGCTTAACTTTTCCATAACAAGAGAATTAGGAGTGTCTCACACAAATTTAGCTGATTTTACCTTCAGTCCAATTGTTAGCACAAACAGAATACTGCCATTTTTTAAGGACTTTAATATAAATGCTATATAATAGACATGCGCACATTCCAATAGAAATATAAAATACAGACATGTACACACAGTAAATACAGTGTATTTAATCTATTAAGCATTTGCCATACTTTGTCCTCAGTGTTTTTAGAATGATTTATATAATGGATGAAAACTATCCAAAGAAAATACTGTGTATAGATAATGTCCTTGTATTTGCCAAACCATTTTTTACATAGTCCCACATTGTGTAGACATCTTGCAAATTCTGCTCTGTTTTAATGAGTGTGACCATGTGAGATTGTGTGCAGAATTTGGAGAATGGTTTGTGAAGAAAAATAAGGCTGTATTTTATCCATGCCTAATGTCCCCAGCTAAACACTGCTTTAGTTGAATGTTCTCAACTTAATTAAGAGTTGATCCCCAGTTGGTTTCAAGTCAAGCTCTCTTACTGAATTCTACAATAAAGTACTTAACTATCGTTTGCCACAGTTAGAAGAGAAATAAATTCTGACATTAATACATCTCAACACTTTATTTTAGGCATCTGAACTATGTAGTGTACTGCATAACCTTTCACAAATGACTTCTAGGGATAAAAAAATAAGAATTATTTTTGGTGCATACCAGTTTTAAATGTCATGCTTTGCACAGGGTTTTGCTGTGTACAGTGAATCCAGATTTTTGTACATACCTGGAATACTTAGAATGATTTGTGGTCTTTTAGTCAGCTTGAGCTGGGTTTCAAGTGAATCTAGGATCATCTGCCATTTCCACCTGGGGGGTGAAAAGCGTTTTGGCATTTTACATGGTATTGACTCATAGTAGGCAAAACCCCACAGTTCTACTGAGATTTGTTTTGGATTTAGTCCTCATTTAAACTTGAAAAATCAAGCTTTGCAGATGAGGAGTATGCATTCCCATGAATGGGATCGAAAGAAAGGTCCTATGAATCTCATAAAAGCCCAAACAGCCATTTTTTGTGTGACTCCTTTTTGTTTTGCCATCAGGAACTGCATTGCTTTGATACGTTTTGATACAATATGGTAAAATTTGTTGCATATCCTATAATACAGGATATCACTTCAGCATGTATCTTGGTGTGGTTTTAATATAGTAGTTAACAATATGCCATGTTAAAGCTGTAAGACTTCACATAAATATTGTAAGGATGTATATCCTACAGAGCAGTCAGGATGAAAAATGTAAACCAACAATAACTGGAGGTGGAAATGGAAATGAAACCTTTACAAAATACTGAATTATGTGCCATATTGAAGTTGTTATGGTACCACAGAAATCTGAATGTAATTTAAGGAGCTTAGGCAGGGAATGGGGAAATCTTCTGACATACCAATGCTATTTACAGACAGAAGCTCCTAGCGTGTGTTCAGGGTTTTCTTGCAAGCAATCAAGTGGAACACTGGTGAAAGAAAGTGAAGAATCTCTGAAGAATTTTTATTTACTCTTCAAACAATTCTGCACAATGGTTTGTTGTATTTTTATTTGGATGGAGTGTGTCAGAAGACAGTTTGGATGCAGTCTACATCTCCAGAACATTTTCTGCCTTGTGAGCATTAAACTATGGAAGTGTTTTTTTAATAAAAGGGAAATGTTTGGAATATACTGTTACCATAAAAAGAAATGCTTCTTTGACCATAACATCAACATTATTCTCATACATGCCATTTCATTTAGAACAGATTGTATCTTGCTTTCTAGACCTGGCAGTCAATTCAGTTAGGTATTTAGCAAATATGAAAGTGGCATTTTGTGTTCCCGTTGCTGCAAAACTTTTGTCTAAGAACATGTAAAATTTGGGTTTTCTTGTCTACAAAGATATAGCAGAAGTAATACTGCAAACTTGCATGTTTTTTGGAATATTGGAGATATTTGGCATCATATTTCGTTTCTGGCAGTAAACTTCTAACTAGCACCTAAAAAGCATTGCTTTGACTAAACTGACTGAAAGGGCTGCTCCTGTTCAGTACTGGAAATACAAGGACCTTCTCCTTTTTTAGTGATTCTTTCATGAATTCTGCACAGTTGGAAAAGTATCACACCAGCAATTGAATGAGATCTCTCAGATCTTGGTGGGATAAATGAGCTAATTCTTCTGCTAATGAAGTGATTAAGAAAGTGATGACAAAACTGAATAAAAATTAATCACATTTGCATGGAAGTTAGGTGCAGTTTTGTCCAATTCAAAGTATAAAAGCATATATTGTCACTATTTCAGAGCATAGTATTACAACCACATGCAAACTATACTTTCAAATATATACTGGTTTTGAGTCCTGTGTTTTTCTATGTGTTGAAATATATGGTAGAAAAATATTTTAGGGTGCTTTTGGAGACAAAAGAATCCATGATCATCATAACAGTGTTAATAATGTACCAGAGATTTTATCACACAGTGCACTTTTTTTCAGGAGAGTTGGTCACTGTTCTGTAAGACTAACGTATTTGTTTTTAGCTTATAACAGGGAGCGACAGCAATTTGAGGTACTATAAAGTCTGAAATAATAAAAAAAAATCATGAAAATGTTAAGGGGTGTTTTCCAGTGATTATACTTTACCAAGCTGAATTTTCTGGATGGAAAAAGATATTTGAAAAATGCTGAGTTTGTGTTGTTTACAATAGGGAATCCATTTAGGAAAGGAGGGAATTTGTCCAGGCTAATTTAAAGGGTTCAAAGGGTTCATGCCGAAGGGGGTAGTTTTGATGTAATGGCTGCATGGTGTCTGGATTGACTGATGGCTCATATGTCTGATCATTAAGCTACAAATGCTTTTTTTGTTTAGGACATTACAAAGGGAAAAAATGTCGATACTAATATTCTAACTTTGAGACTGATGGAGGGCCCTCGGTGGTATAACCATCAACAGCAACTTTACCAAAGAATAAATATTTTCATAGTTCTCATGATGTTACCAAATAATGACATACAGGTGCTTCATTGCTCAGAATCATCCCTTTCTTGTCATAGTCCCATTTGTGACACTATAGTTAATAGTAATAGCTCTAGTAATGGCATCGCAGAAGTACGTTTCCATCTCTCTTTATTTATGTTTGGAATTGTACAAACCAAGTAAATGTCTATATTAGACCTTAATTTTTTATTGAAGTTGTAATTTGGAAGAAAAATATACCTGAGGATGAAATGCGTATTTTAAATGACTCTATGATTTAGTGTAATTAACTTATGCTAGGGACTATAAATTTACCACTTCATAGTGCTGATTAGATAAAGTTGAAACAATGAAAAGAAATGGTGTCAGAAGAAAATCGTTAAGTGCCTAGTAAAAGTCATAGGAGTTACTATCAAAAGTGTCTGTGCTTTTTGTAAGAAGATCATCTGAATGTAAATCATGAGAAAAAGAAAAGATTGTTTGGGAAAGACTAGATAACCTGCTACGTTTTATGCATGATAGCAGATGGGTTTTACTTAGAGTTCTTGAGTAATGTAGAAAGTACTCTTTCGTGGAAAGAATCCTTTACTAGGTTTTTCTCAAAATGAAAGGTAAGGTTATTTCTGTAATTCCAGCAGGCTTAATTCTGTCACAACTGATAGTAGCCAAATTTGCTTTAAATTTCCTGTTGATGTTTAGTACTTTCAAAGCTTTGAACTAACAATTATGTCTTTGGCAAGAGTAATTTTTGTGAACCTTAATTCTTGGAATTTGTTGGAAATGGTCATTTTCACTAATTCTTGTGATTAATCCAACCTAGGTCTTAATCACGGTAAAATATATCTGGAATTAGGTTTTTGTGCCTTATATTTTCTATACTCTGCTTGTTATTGTAACCACTTTTGAAATGTAAAACTCCAACTGTCTACTAGACTGAAATATTTTAAAATAGGCTGAAATATTTCATATTTTCTTGTTTGCCATAGGCTGGTACAAATTATCTTTTGGTATTTTGTAAATACTTTAAAATTTTCTTAAACAAAACAAAAAACCCCACCCCAAGCCCAACAAACAAACAAAAACCCCAAAACCAGTACAAGGCAGTGAGCAGTGATGACTGCTAACTTGGAACCAGTTTTCCATATAGCTTTATTCTTTATTTCTACAAACAAATACATTATATTTATCCCCTCTCTTCTTCTTTCTAGGAAAAAAGTGAATAATATATCTGAGAATAAGTAGTTTTAGAGGGAGAAGCACATGAAATTTGTTGCCTTTTTTCCAGCAGGGAAAATTACTTTACATTAAATGACATTGACTATCTTTTTTAGAAGTCAAAATATAAATAACTCTTCCTCCTATTTCAATCAAGGCCATACAACAGAATCAATCAGAAAGATGCTTCACTGTACCAGAAGCGTCTAAGTCTAAAAGAAGTGGGGGAAAAAAAACTAGTGAGTTTTAAGTCTTTAGTCACCAAAGGAAAGGAAAGGAAGCTTTAAGCTTACCCAGTAAACCCCTTAATTTTTCAGTAGAATAGGTCAGTCAGCCTGAAGTTTAGTTTTGGTTCAGGGCACCCAAAGTTCCCAGTCAAGTGATGGGAAGAAGGTGAGGGAATGAGATTCCCACTCCTCCCTGGGCAGGGAGGAGTATGAAGGAGAAAGGTTTAAATGGAGTAATGATGCCTTTGCTCAAGCATGTGTGTGTGACCCAGCTGGAGAATGAGAAGAGCATGGTTCAAGTACCAGCCTTCTTTGATA